GAAGAAGTTTTGAAAAGTTTGAAAAAGAACTAAAACAAGGATTTGGATCTTTCTTGCTTGAAGATTCATTGTATTTTTGATGTTTTGATTTAGAAAACAATCATAGTCTCATGTTTTCTATTAGTTTTACATGTTTTTGAGTGATTTGAGTTGAAAACTAGCTTGAAAAATGGAAGAGCAAGTGTTAGAACCAACAGATATTTTCTGTAGTAGAATTTTGCGCAGAGCCGCACTTGCAGTGGGGCTTCCCTCACGTGCGGAAGTCTATTTCCAGCAATATTTTTTATTTTGAAATAATTGCACTTACCTCCGCACATGTCCTGATTTTCCCGCATGTGCGAAGCTCCCCTGTTTCAACCTAACTTTGAATAAACATATCTCTCTCATCCAGACTCCGTTTTAAGTGATTCTTGAGCCTAAATTCAAGCCCCAAAAGTAAGTTTCCAATGGTGATGGTCTTATATCCAAATTCTGAGTACACAAATAGATATGCTCAAATTAGTGAAGGTTGTTCACTTTCTTTCTAACCGTTTCATGCTATTTCTTCTCCTAACCTAGTTTCGTTCCATTTCTTCCTATTTTCCTTGATATGAATTATGACCCATTGAGAACTAATAAGTTTAGAACTCACATAAATAATTGGTTAAAGAGCAAAGTAAAGGATCGGTTTATTTGATTAAGAGAAGTAAATTTGATCAAGAGAGTAATTCTATGTTTCGATATGTTGTGTTTTGTGCATTGTGATTACAGGTCAAGATTCGAGGACCGGTCAACCATTTCTGGAAAACCACTATGAGTAATAGTAGTGTAATGATATGTTATGCTTATATGTTATGTTTACATACTTTGACATGTTTTATACAACTTATGTTTTATTGGAGATGATTGAATGTTGGATCACAATGGCATATGAAATGGGCACGAGGCCGTTTTATTATTATGATTGGGCTCGAGGCCATTTTGTTACCATGTGATTGGGTCTGAGGTCGTTCTGTTACCATTTGATTGGGACTGAGGTCGTTCTGTTACCATGTGATTGGCCTGAGGTCGTTCTGTCATATGTGGACCTGAGGCCGTTCTGTTAATACGTGATTAGACCTCAGGTCGTTCCGCAATAAGTGGGCCTGAGGCCGTTCTGAAAACGTGATTATGAATAACGCTATACTTAACGTGACTATGATGAATGCTCTTATTTAATTCAAACCTCTTTATTGGATTCTCTTTACTTTACTATTTTTCATTGAGCTTCGCTCACTCTGTATTTATGTATATTTACATAGGTGATCAGCTCGGAGGTCAGCCCTAAGTCAGTTTCAGAAAACTTTTGTGGGACCTGTTTTGCTAAGCCTCCAAAATTGGAGCCTTTTGTCCTTTTTAAAAAGTTCCTTTGATGCCACATTTTAGTTAAGTCTTTGATGGCTTTTGTTGAACACTTGGTTAATATGTAAATTTTGGGTTGTGAACTTTATATATATATATATATATATCAATATGACTTGGACCTGTATGCAGAAGAACTGTGAACGTGAACTCTTTATATGACATGATTAATCCTGGCATATATAAGCACTGCTCAATGGACGTTTTGTTATTTATTTTGCTTCCACTTTAGGCCCCAATATGATTTAAATGTTTTAAGTTTTTGTTTTGAGGCCTAAATGCAGGCTGGTCATGGCCTAAACTTTTAAGGACAAGTTTGGGTCGTAACAACCTAAGTAGCGTAAGATGTAAATTTAAAATTAGTATGCTATGACTCTATATAATAAGTTTTATCCACCTATTTCAATTGTGAGTAATTCGTTTTAGGTATGTAAGAGAATTTTTACATTTCTCATATTTGATAGGTTAAATTACATTGACCGTGATTGCAGCTTGGAAAAAAATAAAAATTAATTTTACAATTTTGATATACTTGTGTTCGAGTTTATTAAAATTTTAATTCATATAGCATGTAACATTATTTTTATTAATAACTTGTTAGTTATATATATGAAAAAATGGTAATACTATCACTTTTACACTAAAATATATATGTATACTATTATACTAAGTGAAGGCTGGATTTTGTATCCAAGCCTTTACTAACTTCTTCTTATGGCACGTGTCTCTCATTTCTCTATTTAAAACAAAACAAAACAAAAAATAAAATAAAAATTAGTTAGATGGGAGGTATATGACTCAAGCCTATGACCTTTGATCTAATTTAGAAGGCTCTTATCATCTGAGTATTATACAATATATAATAATTTTTTGAATAATGCTATGTGTATCAATTAATGTACTAACTAGTATATAATAGATGATGTAACATAATTTTAGAGGTTTTGGGTATTTGTAATTTGTATAATAGGTAGGGTCAGTAATAATAGCATAACACTAGTAGGTACACTAGTGTGTACATTTATTAGTGCATGTGGCACCACCGTAATTTTTTTATTTGTATTTATTTGAATTACACAGTCATTGCATGTGCGAACCATTAGTTTTTCCTTATGTCTTAACACCACTATTTATGTTAGTTTTGGTTTCTTTAGTTTTATTAAAAAAATATCGGTGTAATTATGACAAAAAAAAGAAAAAATTACACTCATCTCCCTAAAAATCTGAAAAAAAATATAACTAGTCTCACAATTTTTTGTATAATTACAATAGTTTCCCTTAAATTTTTTATTCACATAATTATGTTAATTTATTTTCATCAATAACTCGTTAGTCAAATAAAAATAACATTATCATCTCTTTTATATTAAAATATATATTTATCTTTATTTATTTAAGTGTCTCCCTATAATCTGTATTAGTTTTGATCATTTTACTGTTACTATTAAAAAAAAAGTGGTATAATTATATTAAAAATGTGAGACTAGTTATATTTTTCTCAAATTTAAAGAGAAGTGAGTGTAATTTAACCAAAAAAAATATTAAGTTATTATATTTTCTTCAGTTACATCCTGTAATTTAGGCCTTGTTTGGTTTGTGTTTCTCAAAAAATTTTGGAAAAATTTTTCTACAAATAAGTTTTCAAAAGTAATCAAACCAAACAAATTTTTCCAATTTTTTTTTTTCAAAACTTGTTTGGTTTTCAAGTTTTCCAAACAATTCTCTCTCTCATACACATCAAATCAATCACTTTTTTTCAAAACTCTCTTTCAAAATAATTTTTCAAAATATCTTTTGAAAAAAAATCAAACCAAACAAATTTTCGTACTTTTTATTTCAAAACATGTTTCTCAAATACAAACCAAACAAGCCCCTAGTTTCCTCAATTTCACCTCAATAACATGGCTCATCCTCATATGAAGTAGTTTCAAACTCCTCTCTCTCTCTCATCTTTATTTCTAACCGCATTTAATACTACATCATTAAGATTAGACAAGTAAAATTAGAGAATAGAAACCTGATTGAGACCCCCACTCCCCCATCCCCCACTACCCCACGCACATGTAAGGATTGGTGATTAAAAAAAATAAAAAACTGACAAATCACATCTCTTTGGAGTCCGGATCCTCTGCCATGGTTTCCTGCAGTGGTCCCTGCCATGCTCCAAAACGACGTCGTTTTGGAGCATTTTTTTTTTATTTCCTCTCTGTTTTCCTTCTTCTTCTTCTTCTTCTCTCTCTAACCTCTCAAACAAGCCTAGCTCGCACTGTCCCTTCAGAGCAAAGTCACTCTCTTTTTCTTCACAGCCTCTTCTCTCCCCCCCCTCTCATTCAATGCTTCTCCACCATTTTTAGCCGTTGCTTCTACTGCCTAAAATCCCAAAAAAACAGAACTCATTTCAGAGAGAGAGGAGAGAGAGAGAGAGTAAAGGTGGGTTACGTTGTGAAGAAAATCTTTAATATCTTTTAATTTTGTTTCCGTGCTTCTCTTGCTATATTAACTGCCCTGCCAGTCCCAAGTTCCAACTTTGAAGATATAGCAAATGGGTCAGTTTTATTTTATTTTTTTATTATCTCATTGATTGAATCAATTTTTTTGCAGAGATTACATGCCCTTTTGAGAGTGTTTCAAAGCTTTAAGTTTGACAATGGAAGACAAAGACCCAGATTTTTCTTCTCACAAACTTCCCACAACCACCCAGATTTCAAAACAAATATTTGTTATTATTTGTTACCAAAATCAAGGTAAAAAGAAATCCCTAAAAAAATTCACAAAACACATAATCATCATCGCCCTCCCCCTCTTCATCGCCATCGAATCCGTGAGTTGAGAGCTAATTCTTTATTGATGAAGGATGTGAGCTTCAAGTTGAATGCACGTCTGTTTTGAATCTGGTTTTGGATATTGGTTCAGGTCAAAAAGGTGATAGAGAGGTTAGTGAGAAATCAAGAAGAAGGAACACAGGGAGGAAATTAAAAAAAAAATGCTCTAAAACGACGTCGTTTTGGAGCATGGCAGGGACCACTGCAAAAAATCGCGGCAGAGGATCCGGACTCATCTCTTTGAAGGAAGGTAAAAAGAAATCCCTAAAAAAATTCACAAAACACATAATCATCATCGCCCTCCCCCTCTTCATCGCCATCGAATCCGTGAGTTGAGAGCTAATTCTTTGTTGATGAAGGATGTGAGCTTCAAGTTGAATGCACGTCTGTTTTGAATCTGGTTTTGGATATTGGTTCAGGTCAAAAAGCTGATAGAGAGGTTAGTGAGAAATCAAGAAGAAGGAACACAGGGAGGAAATTAAAAAAAAAAAATGCTCTAAAACGACGTCGTTTTGGAGCATGGCAGGGACCACCGCAGAAAACCACGGCAGAGGATCCGGACTCATCTCTTTGAGGGTCACACACAATGGGGTCCGAATTATTTTTTTTAGAGAATAAATATATTTAAAAAAAAAATATCCCTGTAAATTTTTGAAAGGACTCTTCATCTGCATCACGTGCCGTCTAGATTCAGTCACGTGTTCGAAGGGCAGAATTTCTGATTTGACAAAAAAGAGTTATTGGAGATGAGGTTGCCATTGAAGACACCTGCTTGGCCATAGCTTGCCTATTCTTGTCCACCTCACTCAGCACCATTGGATTGGGTCCACCCCCAGATTTCCATTCTCTGGTTTCTCTACCTTCTCTTTTCTATTCCTCACCATCAACCTCAAAACCCCCTCTCAAAATATCTCTAACATTCTCAATACCAATACAAAAACCCCCCCAACAAACTCAAGAACAAACAGTACACCATTTGATTCCATTCACAGCCCAAATCCATGGCAACCCCTTTTTTGCTCCAATCAAACATCAAATTGAACCCATACCCTCTTTTCCATCCATACCCAATTCCAATTCGATCCCCCATTAAACCCATAAAAAAATCGCCAAACTTTACCAAAAACTACTTCAAATTCAACAGAACAACCTCTAAACTCAGCGTGAAATGCTTTTTCATGAGCAACAACTCCATGAAAAAAAGTGTGGAATTGGTTAACGAAGAAAGAGCTTCGAACCCATTTGAAGTTATTGCCAAATCCATATTGGAAGCCCTGAAAGCTCTCCAAAAGCCCACAATCGCAGCTGTTTTGGTGGGGCTTTTGTTGATGTATGATCCCAATTCGGCATTGGCTGCCTCTGGTGGGAGGATGGGAGGCAAGTCCTTTTCGTCGCGTTCTTCTTCGTCTTCTTCTTCGTCGAGGTCGGCTAGCCCAGGGTTTTCATACTCTGTGCCTTATTATGCACCCTCACCATTTGGTGGTGGTGGGTACTATGTTGGGCCAGCAGTTGGTGTTGGTGTGGGTGCTGGGTCGAGTTTCTTTCTCATTTTGATGGGTTTCGCCGCCTTTATGTTGGTTTCCGGGTTCTTATCTGATCGGTCTGAGGGTGGTGTTCTCACTGCTACTGAGAAAACTAGTGTTCTTAAGCTGCAGGTATACCCTACATGAGTTTAACTGATTAGTTTTAATTAATTTCTAGTTAATGGATGAACAATTGATGATTGAATTTACTTGACTTAGTAGTAATGAAATTGGGTTTTATTGCATTTGCTTAAGTTGCTAGTATTTATCTTGTGGATGTAAGGCTAATACACAATTTCAAAACTCAAAAATGGTCCTTTGTTTTTCGTGGGTATCACCACGTGGTTTAATCCCGATCGCCTCATCTAGAATAGAAGGCGACTTGTTACAACTTGGATTTGGAGGTCAAAACTTGTTCAATTGGAAACTCATTTTGGAATGTCAGGAATCAGGATGCAACTTCCAAAGAAATTTATGGGCAAATCATTGGGAAATGTTTCTAGAGCATTTTGGTAACTACTAACGCAAAAATATAAGAATGGAAACTTCTAGTCACCCTCTAAACTTTTTGAAAATACTTGGGAGACATGGGGAACTTTGAGAAAATGCCTTAATTTTTTTATTTTGGTCAAAAAATTATTTCTTAAGTTTACACTTCAGCTGTAATACAACTTTTCATATTGTTCCATATTAAGTTTAGAAACTTTTTTTTTTTTTTTTTTTTTTTAAAACTATAATTTTAGCAAAGTTCGTACAAGTAAATTTTGCTTATAAACTTCTATATGATTTCATGTCACATTCTACGTATTGGTTCCTATGGTGTTTTTGAACTAGGTTTGCTGCTTCTATTCCTCTTACTATTTATACCTTCCACTTCACTTTCTCACAACTATGGTCTAGTAGCCATTTTCGGATTAGTGGATGTAAGTTGTAATATTGAGTCCATAACTATTACCTAATTTGGCTTATTGTTGGGTTCTTCTTTCAAGGCCAAGTGAACATGGGATCTAATTGTTGAGAAGTTTTAAGAGGTGAGTGGCAGGATGGAAATGACGAAAACTTACTGAAAAGGGAGTTAATTAAGGACATCTTTTTACACCTAACATTTTTCATGCTATTCTCCATTTTAAAGGTGCGTGGAGAAGCTTTGGTGAGTTCTGGGTCTCTCTCTATCTCTCTCTCGTATCATTTCGTAGAAGGGGATGTCTTCTCTTCCTTGATTAGTGGGATTAAAATCTAGGAATTTTAGTAAGTGTAGCTGAGCCTCATTAAGTAAGTTGTGGATATAGATAATAATATATGGCAATAGTTGTGGAAGAGAAATATGGAAGGGGGGAGGGGATGATTTGTGAATCCAGTGAGAGCTTCTTCTCATGGTGTGGGTCTGTGAAACTATTGGGCTGGAGGAATTTTCTGAACATATTATTTTGAAATGGCTATCAAAAGCTGGTGAGATATTGGGATGAAGGATGTCCTTCTTGAACATCAAAAATCATTTCTGCTGGGGATCAACCCCAAAAAAATAGTAATAATAATAATAAAAATAATAAGAAAACAAAAAACAAAAACTAAAATAACTGACAATAAAGTCCAAAACAGTATAGTAGCTGCATTAATTTTTAAAGTTTTTTATGAATAAAGTATTAATTCATTTCTAGTTCCTTCCCTCACCATTAATCTCTATGTCTTGACCAAAACCCTATTGCGGGGGCTCTTTATGGCCATGGCTTTAGGTTTTTTGGATAAAAATTGGATAATGGTTGATGAGAAGTTTTCCTAGCATGCTAATTTTGAGATGGGACAATGCTTGAAAGTTATGGATGTAGCATAGGGATGTAAATTGTAAATTTCTAATATTGTCAATGACACAAAGCTTACCTAATTGGCATTGTAACATATAAGTACTCATTGACTTCTATTTTTTTGACTGACTAAAATCTTCAAAAAAAAAAATTTTGGATAAATAAATGATAGTACTTATTGTCACCATCATAGTAAGATATGATGTTCAATTATGATTTATTTTATTTTATTTTTATTTTTATTTTTTTAAGACTCAGCCTAGCCGTTTCTTGAAGACTCTCTTACAATTGTCTTTTTCTTAGGTTGGCTTGTTGGGGATGGGGCGGTCACTTCAAAGGGACCTTAATCGGATTGCTGAAACTGCTGATACGTCCACTTCAGAGGGTCTGAGCTATGTATTGACAGGTAAAACTTGTTATGAAGTGCTTCTGCATTTAAATTATTGAAATGTGTTTTCAGTTTTAAGTTGTTTAACTGGTGGATTTGATTTATGCTAAGCACACGAGGCATGTGATTCACAATTAAATTTAGTGGAGATATAGGTACTACCAGCAAAGTTTCTTGTTGGAGCCATGTTTTGTCCGTTACATATATTCTGCTTTAATTTTTTCATGCATACATCATACATGAACATGTTTGTTTGCATGTACTTTAGATTCTTGGATATGATTTGGTAAAACTCTTATGCAAATGTTTGCCACAAGATACTTGTCTTTTTCTTTGGATAAGTAAGATTTTTTCTTGTACTGATGATTGTGATTGGCCCCATTTCTTTGATAGATTTTTATTTAGGAATTTGGCTTTGGCTCTTATATTAGTTACTTCAGTTTAAATTATTATCTTCAGCGTGTCAAGCTACTTATATCCACTTCATTAGTTCTATTACCCCGACAATGCAGCTCTTATTAGTTGCCTTTTGCTGCAGAGACAACACTTGCTTTGCTTCGACATCCTGATTATTGCATCTGTGGTTATTCATCTGTAAGTTAAATGCCATCTCCTCAAGTATTTTGCATCTCTATAATGCTATGTTTCAATAGCTGGATTCCAGATTCAAACATTTGTAGTCAAAATTGTTGCTCTTCATATCCTTTCTTTTACCTTGAAATTTGCACTTTTATGTTCAATATGTTGGAATAGCACATGCAGCCTATATATTTGGACTGTTACAGTTGATATATATACCATCCATACGCTTATGTCTCCTGTTGGTTGCTTATAGTTATTGGTTGATGCTGAGGTGCTTATTTGTTGGTTGCAATAAATTGTGTACGGTATTGTTCTTGTATATTGCCTTTAACAATATATCAGTAAGTCTGTGTTTGGATATATGATTTGGGTTTGCTATTTGTGGAGGGAAAGGAAAAGGTGAGTGAAATGTGCATGAACTATAAGCTAAATTTTTCTCCATTTCCCTTGCCTTTTCCTTTCATTTCGCCTGAGTGTGCATTCTATGAATCGAAGTCCCACATCGCTAGACAAAGGGGATGTGTAGTGTATAAGCGTGAGGGCACTCTCACTTGATGACCTAGCTTTTGGGGTTGAGTTATACTCAAGATTGTGTCGCATGGTATCAGAGTTTGAATTATCTGTTGACGATATTTTTGGAAGGGCACATTTTAATTATGATTTTGCATTTGACAAGCCTTTAATTATGTTTCGGTAGTATTGAACACGTGCATTTTGCACTTGTCACATGTGGTGCAGGTGGATGTAAAGCGTAGCATAGAAGAAGGCGAGAAACGATTCAATAAACTTTCGATTGAGGAGCGTGGAAAATTCGATGAAGAGACACTGGTCAATGTGAACAACATAAAAAAGAAAAGCACAACAAACCAAAGAGCCAGTGGATTTAGCAATGAGTACATAGTGGTAAAAACAACTTAGAAATTTGTTCTTTGAGTATGCTTTGGACTTCTTTCATTTGTAGTTGGACAGTGAGATTAGACCTTGATAAAAGCATCTCAACACCCTTCATTTTTGGTTAGTGGTTTGTGCTTAGTGCCTTTGGCTTATGTTTGCATTGTTCTTCTACTTATTATTATTTAAAATTGATATTTCGGTTTGCTTCACTTGAATGCAATTGTTAAAGGATGCTTTTAAGGTTTTGTAAATTTGTTGTCCATTTTTCCAACCTAAATAATTGGGACAAAGTTTTCTGCCATAGGATGTCCTTACAAAATTGAAGGGTCTTGTTAAGAGGCTTAAAAAGATTGTAAATTTTAATGTCACACGTTAAAAAAAATCCAAATTAAAACCTGTGGCTATGTACTTAGTGAGGTAGCCTACATCAGCTTATGGTTTGTATGGTCTTTTGGAGGCTTTGTTCTATATGTATATAACTATTGAACATTAGCATGTATATTTTTCCAATAGAGTTTGCTATATTATGATTTAACTAATTTTGTGATTTGAAAAGTGAAATTTTTCTTCTACTCCCAAAGCTCATTTTTCAGCCCAAATTATCATTCCTTCTGAGTAGTTTTAATTTCAGATAACAATCTTGGTGGCTGCTGAAGGAGTACATAAATTGCCCGCCATCAATGGCAGTGCAGACTTGAAGGAAGCCTTGCAAAAGCTTGCCTCTATCCCTGCAAGCAGAACACTAGTAAGAATATTAGTAATGTTTGGTTGTGTTTCATTTTCTTCATTTTCGTTTTTCATGTTTTTAGAAACAAAAACAATGAACAGCCCATCATTTTCATTGTTTGCGCAAAAATAATTTTAAAAAATTTTAAAATAAAATTTTATGGTCTTTCCTAAAAAGGGGTTGTTTAAACAAGTTTGTGTATTCTGAAAAATGAAAACAGAAAACGAAAATACAACTGTGCTTCTTCCTCCTCGTTTAATTCAGATTCATTTACGTGCAGGCTGTGGAGGTGTTGTGGACTCCTCAGAACGAAAATGACACTTTGTCGGAGCGCGAATTGCTTGAGGATTACCCGCTCTTGCGGCCTCTATAAATAACATATTTTGCTACCTTATATTTTTACAGTTAGAGATATGAACTCAACTGTTTTTTAGGATCCTGAGTACAGTTAGTAAAGAGAAAATTTGTTTATGGTACAGAAAAGTTCACTTGTGTAAGATCAACTGCATATAATGTTGTACTTAATTTGTATACTTACAAATAGAGAGTATTCGCTATGAAGCAAAAGCTCTCTTTCACTACTAGCTCTGTAAATTTTGCCCATTTTATATCTAGTAAATCTAAGTGCATAGAATGAGACAGAGATGTGAGTGGGAACACTCTTTATCTCACATGTGTCTCATTCTGTGAAAATCTTATGTGTCTATAGCATTATTGTTTTATATTAGGAATTCAAACCCCTAAGCTTATCCAGTAAGAGCTTGTTCTCATTTATGCAAATTAATGATTTGATTCGTTCATTTGGCTCTAGTTTTAAATGACTCCGAGAATGGCCTCTGATTTATTCTATATTTTTTGGGAAATGATATGATTAGTTTATTTCCTTTAATTTTCTTCTTTGTGATTGGATTGTCTTGAGTTGACCAGTCTTACGGACATAAGACCTGTTGTGAGGTTCATTTTAATGATTTGAACAGGACATTTTTTAGATTTTTATGTGTAGAACATTTGTGAAATAATTAGATTGAGTTCGGTTTGATTCTTCTTTGAACGATTCTTTGATGAGTTGACTGGGTGACAACTTTGGAAATAAAAATATACTCACTGTTTCAACAATGGAAGATTCACTTCTTTTTTTTTTGATGTATTGGAAATAAAGCAAAAAACATGGGACTAAGCCCTCTCCTTAACTATCCCAATCATGTCAGCCACTAACAACTCATTAATCTCAGTTGGGGGGATCATTAACAACTAATATGTCTTCTGGTTGGGCAGCGCCCAATTTTGCTAGAGCATCCGCGCATAGGTTTCCTTCACGATAAAAATGTTGAGCTGTTCATTGGCAGCTATTGAATATGATCCTCGCATCTTCCACTAGCCCTATGTAAGGATGTTTCTCTCCAAGGCCTTCTACAAGCAGCTTGACTATTTCTTGAGCATCCATTTCCACTAGGGATGTAAGAAAAACCAAAAAAACCGGCCAAACTGATTGAACCAGACCAAACCGGATGTATTTGGTCTGTTTTTTTTAAAAAAAATCGGTTTGTGCGGTTTTTAAATTTGAATTTTTTCAGTTCGATATCGATTTAAGCACCTTGTGCACCGATCTAAACCAAAATCAACCGCTTCAACTTATATTGTATATAATATATATATATATATAATTTAATAATATAATGATATTAATAAGTATAATAAATTATTAACATTAGTTAATTAACCATATCATCTTTATAACCTAAATTTGTAAACTCTTATTATATATAATAACTCTAATTCATTATTCTTGAAACCTTAGTATTTTCAAACTTTTTTTGTTTTATTTTTGATAATTTAGGAATTAAAAAGTATGTATTAAATGGATGGATTGGATATGTTTAAAATGGGAGACAAATAACTAATTTAATATTTTTATATAGATTAATGATTATATTTAAAAGTGGCTCAAGTTTGAAAAATCCTAAACCGATTAAACCGTACTAAATCAAACCGTTTCAATCGGTTCGGTTCGGTGCGGTTTGATAAGAGAAACAGTCTGTATCTGTGTTCAAAACAATAAAAACGGACATTATCCATTCGGTGTAATTTTTTTACTTAAATACCGACCGTACCCAACCGATTACATCCCTAGTTTCCACAATCACTTTGTTGAAGCCTTTTTAGAGAATGATTGTTAGACCTTTATACACCGCCCATAGTTCGGCTTCAAGACTGGTGCAGCTTTCCATCCTCCCATAATAGCTACAAATTCAAGCTCCCCTCTCATTCCGAATGAGACCGCCAAACCCATTTGGTCCCATGCTCCAATTGCTTCCATTTGTGTTCAATTTAAGGGTACCTGCAAGAGGGAAAATCCATTTAATTAGTCTAAATGGAGGTCTAGGATTAATAATAGATATGCTAAAAGCAAGATCAATTTCAATGGAATAATCAAGAATAAATTTCAAACTCTCAAATTGATTGGACAATTTATTTTCAAAAACTTTCAGGTTCTTGTTTTTTCAGATTTTCCATAATCTGACTAAGAAGATAGTACTCCATGAAGACTTGGCCCGAAATTTATCATTTGTTTTAGAGTTAGAGATCAGCCAGTGTATCCAATTCTCATTATTAGTCATCTGCAGATACCTCTGTTGGTTTTGGATAGCAGTCCAAACTTCCTTAGTTTGAAGCATGGTCTAAAAAGATGGTTCAGATCTTCAGATTCACAGCAAAATGGGCAACAAGAATTATCTGAAAGGCCCCTTTTCATTCTTATGTTGTTAGTAAGAAGTTTTCCGTGTAAGATAGTCCACAGAAAACCTTTCAGCTTCTGTGGAACTTTCTTTTTTCACAGCCATTGTCAATCCACGTCTTTTCCATCATATTCCGAAGCCACCTCATAAGCACTAGAAGTGGAAAATGAAGTATCAGGAGCCCCCTTTCCAAACTAGCTGATCCAGGTTAGGATTATATTTAGGGGGTTTCTCTTTAAAAATGGAGGCAGCCACAGTTGAGAGGAGAGTTTGATTAATAATGTTTACATCCCAATCACCATCCTTATCAATGATATCCCTAACCTTGGACATAGTAGTATTGGCTAGTGTGAGAGAATTTGAGGTCATGACTTCCTCAATAGGTTTCTTCCCACACCACCAATCTTTTCAAATGTTAACACTAGTACCATCACCAATCGATCATTTTGCACATTTTCTTAGGATGCTTCTGGATTTTAGTATATCTCTCCACACATGAGAGGCTCTACTATTCTTCTTCCAATTTAGGAAGTGGTTACCTTTCAAGTACTTGGCTTTTAGCACCTCTATCCACATCCCTCCCTCATTGTTAATGAGTTTCTAGCCCAATTTTGAAAGTAAGGATAGATTATGGTCTCTAGCCTTCTTAATGCCAAGGCCACCATGAATTTTCTTTTTCTCTAGGGTATCACCCCAAAGAAAATTTCTATTAATATTGTCAATATCATTGCACACTCTTATAGGTAGCTCCATAGTTTGCATAGTGTAAGTAGGTAAAGCAACAGTAACAGATTGGACAAGTGTAGCTCTTCTTGCCATAGATAGGACACTCATTTTCTAACCTGCCAACTTGTTTTGTAATTTCTCAATTAAAATGTCCCAAACTCACTCTTTCATTCAAAAGTGCCCAAGTATTTACCCAGGTCAGATGTTAAAGGAATGCCACATCGTGCACTGAGGTTTTTGGCCTTCCTAGGATCAAGGCTAGGGAACACAAAAAGTTTTGATTTCTGAAGGTTAATCTTGAGCCCAATTATGAAACTGAACTCATTCATAACTTCAGTAATAGTAGTACAATTTTTAGTGTCCGCATTAGCAAAAAATATTAAATCATCAGGAAAAAAGAGATGAGTGATACAAGGTCCTCCTCTAGTAATTGAGATGCCTTTCCACTTCTTATCCTCCGCTTTACGGCTTATTGTATTAGACAACCGTTCCATGCACAAAACAAAAAGGTACGGAGATAAGGGGTCACCCTGCTTTAGGCCTTTCAAGGGCCTATACTACTCAAGTGCTTCGTCATTCCATAAAATAGATGTTTGCATTGAGGTCACACAACACATAATTAACTCCACCCAATTCTCATTAAAGTTAAATTCAACAAGAGTTTCTTTCAGGAAATGCCAGGAGATATTGTCGTAGGCCTTCGCAAGATTAATTTTCAAAATCATATTACCCATCTTACCTTTTCGTAATCTCATAGAATTGATGGCTTCTTGAGTAATAATGATGTTATCACTGCTATTTCTACTGCTCTAGTTTGGTCGCACAAGTTTATCAAGAAGTGGTCTAATTCGATCCACCACAATTTTAATAATGATTTGTGTAGGTAACATTACAAAGGCTAATAGGTCTAAATTGCTTGACCCTCTTAGGATTCTCCACTTTCGGAATAAGAGAAATAAGGATCCTGTTTATCTCCTCAGGGATAGAATTAGTGCCAAAGCAATTTTTTTATGAAGGAACAACAGTAGGGCCAACAATATTCCAATGCTTATGAAAGAAAATAGCTTGGAACCCATCCCTCCCAGGGGCTTTGAAAGCCTTAATATTTTTCACAGCTTTCTTCACATCCTCATCAAAAATAGCTTTGGACAACTCAATATTATCATTACTAGATTTCTATTATTTTATGATACTGTTAACACCATAAATCTGCAATTTTTATTATTATTTATTATTTATATAATTGCAGGACACGTGGCATCCTCTTATTCATTTGGAAGTTAAAAGAAGTTATAGAGATAATGGAGAATATGAAGGACAAAGTGGATGAGTGGGAGGACAAAGTGGATGAGTGGAAGGACACATGGCAAGACAAGAATGAAGATGGAAGAAATGGGTAGTTACTAAGTAGTTATTGCTGTATTTTTTCTTCTATAAATAGCCATTAATGGCTACATTGTAAAGGATCCAGAATTCATAATCAAAGACACTTGATTTCAATATTTCTTGTTATTTTCCTTATCTTAGGAGTAGTTTAACATAGATTTATATTTCGAAGCATTTATTTTCAGTATTTCCATTTCGAAGCATTTTATGTACTTTCTTTTCGAAGCATAGGAGTAGAGGTAAGTATTTATTACTTTGATTGTTCACTCAATCATCTTTCTCCGTCCCTTTTTCTTCTTTTACTTTTTCTTTTCGCTACACTTGGCAAATTTGAAGTCCTCTTCGTTGAGGCAAAAGAACCGTTAACACAATCGCTTGATAATTGGCTTGAATTTAATCTGTAAGGATTTTTCAATCCTTGCTGGCACGCTCGCATTTATGATATTTTCCTTCGTAGGAAAAATAAGCCAACAGATACTATATGATAAAAATAATATGATATGATAAAAGTTGTATAGAAAGAGATACCGGTATATCAAGTCTATTTTTGATTATCTAAGACCACATTTGGAGTTTAACTTCTTGAAGGGAGTTTTATTTTAAGATCCCTCATATTAGGATTTTATAAAATAAAGGATAACAAATATTGTAGTACCAGGTCCTTGAGAAACAAAGAAGCAGTTTTCGAACATCAATAACTTTTTAAAAAATTTTAAAACTAAATTAAATAACTTTTGAGTTAAATATCTATTTTCAATAAAATTTATATTTTTAGAATGCTCTCATCGAGATCTATCAAATAATATCCATGATGAATATGAAATTTTAGGAAAAAAATTGAGAAACTTTCACTGAGTTAGCTATTTTTAGTCAATGAATTTGTGAAATTTCTCTGAGAGAAAATAAGCAATTCAAAAAAATTTCTGAGAGAAAATAAGTAATTTTGAAATTTATCTAATAGAAAATAAGTAATTTTGAAAATTCTCTACGAGAAAATAAATAATTTTAAAATTTTTCTGAGTAATTTCAAACAAAAGACAAAAAATGAATGACAAAAAAAAAACCAGCAAAAAGGACTTAAATAATTCTTTTCATAATCCTTAAGCTTCTACGGTGAGAGAGATTGACGCTTAGTTTTCTCTTCGTTGAAATCCACTATTTTTAAAAGTTGAAAAAGGTGAGGCGTTGGATGCTAGTTTTCTTAATTTGATCAATAATAATTAATTGGGTAAATTACATTTACTTCCCCTAAGGTTTCTGACAAATATAGGGACCTCCCTTGTGATTTGAATAATTACAGTAACCTCCCCTACTTTACCTGACAATGTCAAGATTCTTCCAAACTGTGGCTGCCGTTAGAAGATCTAACAGAAAGTGCTGATGTCACTTTTTATTAATTATGAAATGACAAAAATACCCTCACTGCCTTCTAATTCATCCAACTTCTACAGCCTCACTGCCTGCTAATTCACCTTCTACTCCTATCATCACCAATACCAACCCATTCACCATTACAGCACCTTTCACAAAATCAGAAATATACGTAAAGGTATATATATGTAAGATATTTATGTATGCATATATATGTGTGTGTGTGTGTGTGAGATATATATATTGATTCAATTCTCTGTTTTTAATTTATTTATTATTTAATCAAACATATGTATATGTTTGATATATATTGATTCAATTCTCTGTTTTTTTTTTATTCAATCAAACATATATATATATATATATATATTACATAAATGTAAGATGCAACTGACCAAACCCACCACACAAATCTGTTAAACAACTCACCCCCGAGCCTCAAACCCACTAGATCTATTAAACTCACCACTGCTATCTCAATCCTCATGGAGTTCTTGATCACTATGGTTATAGATATAGTGGTGTTGATCTTGATTTCGATGTTGCTTGTTAGAGGTTAGGAACAGAGAAAGTGGAGATGGAGGTTGGAACAAAAGGTTTGTGGGCAGAGGGAGAGATGGAGGGAGGCAGTGGTGTGTGTGGAGGGTTTGAGGGCAAAAAAAGTGATGGAATGAAGAGTGAGACATTGGGGCAATGAGCAGTGGAAGTTGAGCCAAAAGATGGAGATGGAAACAAAAAGGAAAAAAAAAAAAAATCACATTGTTCTCCTACCATCTTACTCTTTCTTCTATTTCCTTTCTTTCCCCATGGATGACCATTTCTTTTCCTTCCTCTTTCATGCTCTCCAATCAAAACTCATATGCTCCCCTTGTTTTAGTTTTGCCTTCTCTCATCTGTTGCCCACTCTTCTCCTTTCTAATTTAAACCCAAATTACACCAAAAAAATAAACCCAAATTCCAATTAAAAAATAATCACAAATCTATATCACTATCCAAATCTTCCAAAGACTTGACTGAAACCTCAAACAAAGATTCAATACAAAAAAGTGGCCTAAACTTGATTGTTAGTGGGTAGCTAAGGAGCGAGAAGATCACGCCCTTTCTCTCCTCCTCTTTCTCTTACTCCTCCTTCTTTTCTTTTTTTTTTTATATTTTTTTTATTTTTATCGTAACCCATATTGCAACCAACTGCCCCAAACCCAAATTGTGACCCAACATTGTTTCCATCACTGCCCACCATCGCTCTCAAAACCATATATCTAGGATTAGGGTTTTGAAAGAAGAAGAAGAAGAGGAGGAGAAAGAAAGGAAAAGCAGGCAACAAATGACAGAGAAGAGCGAGTGGAGGAAGAAGAATGAGAAGAAGGAAAGGCGGAGGTGGCGGACAGAAAACGACAGACGACGGAAAGGATGAAAGAAAGAAGATACCCCAATGACGCCGGTGAGGAGGAGCTTCTCTCTCTTGTTTTAATCTGACGAGAGAACAAAAACAAAAAAACAAATTAAAAAAAAAGAAAAAAAAAAGTTGAATATGGTGGAGAGATGGTTAACAGTCAAAAGGTATTTTCATCTTTTCGCGCTTAAATAAAAGGGTAATATGGTCATTTTGTATAGGAAAGTAATGTCGTTTGTGCAAAATTGACAGTTTGGGAGAATCTTGACATTGTCAGGTAAAGTAGAAGAAGTTTCTGTAATTATTAAAACCACAAGTTTCTGTATTTGTCAGAAACCTCAAGGGAGGTAATTATAATTTACCCTAATTAATTTAAACAAAAAATGGCTTAATAAAAATAAATCATGAAATAAATTTCCCAAAATACATCTTTACACTAATTTTATTAATTTGATGGATTATAATTTAATAAAAACAAAGTTGATGTGACGATTCTAAGGCATTATTTGACATAAAAATAAATATACTTATTTAAATAAATACACTTATTTCAATTATATTACATTTCTACTTTTCTATATAAATTTTTATAAAAAATTAAAAAACATATTTATTTAAATTATTCAAAACAACCCTTAAATTTTTCAAAAAAATGTCTTGAGTTTGAGTGCAAATCACCATCACTTGTGCACTTACGGTCCAAAAACATTATGTAATCAATCAACAAAAAGGAAAAAGAAAAAGCAAACTTCACAATCATCATGGTCATCACATTAAAAAGTGACCATAACATGTTAAAGCGAAAAACATAAAAGGGCAAATTACATATACACCCCTCAAGGTTTGGCTAAATTACAAATACCCCCTGAGGTTTGAGAAATTACGAATTCCCCCCTGAATGCTATATTTACATAAGAAATTAGGGAGTAATTTGTTATGAAATATAAATCTCAGGGGGTAAATTGTTATGAAAATACAAACCTCAGGGGGCGGGATGTAATTTCCGAAACCTCAGGGGGTATCTGTAATTTTACCAAACCTCGAGGGGTGTATATGTAATTTGCCCAACATAAAAAGCATATCAATTATTCAAAAGGGATATCTCATTAACCCCTTAACTCGATTAAATATTAAGTATAATTATTACATGATGCAATTGGTATAATTTATTTATTTATTTAATTTTAGGCAGCAGTTATTAAATATCTAAAATATTTTCCAAATTTTCACAGGAGTCAAACGTGTAAGATGTGTAAAATTTTATCAGAAGCATTTGAATAAAATCCTTAAAATAGTAAACCCTCTTGTCTTTAAATGCTTTATTTTGGAGGGTAATGAAATCTACAAGAAGGAAACGGTTTTGGTTGGTAGCTCGAAATTTACGGGCCCGAATGCCCCTAAATTTCCATATAAGGCAACCAAAAAAAAAAAACAAGGCAAAAAAAAAAAAGAAAAAAAAAACAAACTTATCCAGAAAAGGAAATTAGGGCCATTAGGACCACTGTTTTTAGGGCCACAATTCATTTTCCGGAAGGAAATACCTCATAGCAGACCCCAAATCTATGATGGGCGTGTTGAATTTGTTAAAAAAAAAAAAAAAAAATGTTTGAAAAACTGACTCATCTAGTTGGCCATCACTGATTCGTCATCTCATAGGGTCCACAAACCTAAAATCAATCTTAACTCGCCATGTGATCGGTTTCATGATAAATTCTCAGTGTGCACGTCATTTTTCTTTGTTGTTCAAAACCCAATTATGAACCAAAACCATCTAATCAAACCGATAAAGCAATCATAACTCACCACGTGATTGGTTTCGTGGATAAATTCTTGGTGTGCACATCATTATCCTTTGAAAGTAATGTTGTTCGGACCGAATTATGAACCAGAACTAACGCATCTGGTCACTTCTCCATATGCACACCATTTTCTTCTTCAATAATTCTAATTATCCAAAAAAAAGTATCCGTAATTTTAAATAGAAAAATCAAATTCAATTCTTGCAGAATGGAAACCACGTTTAGCAAGAATTCAAAGCACACTGTTTTTCTGAATAAAATTCTCGAATACTTTTTTTTGGGGGGTTTTACATGTCAACAGCATCAACTGGTAGGGATGTTGTCCTATGAATAGTGTTTGGAAGCAATGACCCTATGCAGAAGCTCTTGGCAGTAACCATATTCTCTGCATTTGGAGAGCCTCCATTGCCAGCCTCCCATTTTCGGGCCCCTTGGGCTTCTGAAATGGCACAATCTCTCTCATTGGCCCGAGATTTCATGATAATCTCACCTTGTAACGGGTTCAACACTGAATGCGATGAATTTGAATGAAGTCTTGGAGATTGTGGTACAAGTCCTAACTGTTGATCTCTTAGTTTTCTCAGTTCTATCTGGTACTTTGCTCTAAGCCATCTCAGTTCTTGCTGAATTTCAAGCTCATAATCATCTGAAAGATCACGACATGGTGAAGGAATCGCGGTGGAATAATGGGAGCCTGATAAAGATGCAATGTCGTGCTTTATTTCTCCCCCTCTCTTACTTTTTACTAGATCCATTTTTTTGTGTTCTTCGTCAGAGTGGCTCTCTCTGGAGCCTAGTGAGCTACACTCAAGGCTTTCGCGGTGATCCCAAATTTCCATAGAATGGAAACCGTTGGCCTGGCTTGACAACCTTGGATTATTTACGCTTTGTGAAGAAGCAAAATGCCCATGTCCATCAACTTGATACGTGATCTCTTCAAACCGGCCATGCATAGATGCACATCCATTCCCAGAACATTGTGGAAAGTTCATGACAGAATGCGTAGAGGTACAGTTGGAGGCACAATTGTGGCAGAAGCTTGAATTGGCAAAGCGGGGCGTTTCTTTGATTCCTATCCCAGGATTCCACTCGGGTACTAATGAAGTGATCTCCCCATCCATCATATCAGCTATTTTAGTCACATCTTGATCAGTTATGTCCAGCTCCGCAGCCATTTCAGTTGCAACACTTAATGCTGTGTCTGTTTCAATGTCGAAGAGGAAGTGGATGTTTCGGATATGTCCTGCAAAGAGAGAAATTGTGTAATGCTCGGCTAACAATCACGAAAATGAAACAAAACTTGATGTTTTTACAAATTTTCTAACCTTCTTTGTCTGAAATTTTGAGTGTTAGAAAGATGCTGTCGTCTTCTCTCCTCTTCCCCTTGATGGTTATGTCAACATTGCCAGAATGATCATCGTGTTCATCATCATTGTACTCAGAAAGTTCAATTCCACTTTGTTTGATCTCATTTGAATGGTATTCCCATCCATTCTGGGCTTCAAAGGCAACAGTGCCATTTGTATAGCCATTATAGGAGCCGTTGCTATACGTTTTTCCTTCATAATCAAGCTCGAGACGAGGCAGCTGCCTTAAGAAAGGGTCCATGTCATCCATTTCTCTCTGGTAATCTATTGGTCTTAAATCAGATTCACAATAATCAGTCTGGAGAAAAGGGTCATCAAGAAGCTCCCTCGCGGTGAGCCTCAGTGACACAGTAGCCAAACATTTTTCAACAAATTGTCGTATCTCTGGATCCTTCACTTTGTACAATGCATCTGGTTTTTTCCCCTAAAGCAATAAAACATGTCAATTGAGAGAGAGAGAGAGAGAGGGGGGGGGGGCACGGAATCCTCTCCCCAAGATCTCTGTCCATTTGTCCCAATGTACTTTTTCAGTTGCACAGTCGTCTCAAGATTCTCATATTTTGAGACGACTGTGAGTACATTGGAGACAAGGGTTTAAGATCTGTCCCAATGCACTTTCAGTCGCACCGTTGTCTTGAGATTTTAATGTTTCAAGACGGTTGAGAGTGCATTGGGGACAGGGATTTGCGGATAGAGGATCCCTGACTGGGAGAGAGAGTACTTACAGAGCTGACTTTCTTGTAGATTTGGGCAGGATGAGTGCATTCACTGTATGGATATTCAAAGGTGACCATTTCCAATAAGCACATTCCAAAAGAATAAATGTCAACCAATTCATTATATTCCTCTGCATATACTTCTGGAGCCATGAACTCAGGTGTCCCTAGTTAACCCCACAAATAGATAAAACATAACTCAATGATTTTCAATCAATTGTGTTAATCTACTTACTCATTCCTCTGTTTGGTTGCGTTCTGTTTTCTGTTTTCATTTTTCAGGACAAAGTGTTCTCAAAAAACTATCTTGGGAAAAGAAAATATAAAAACAACCCACTTATCGAAAGGTAGCTTTCAAATTTATGAAATGCAAAAATAAAAACAATAACTATGAGTGTTTTGAAACTTTCGCCGTTTTCATTTCTGGAAGCATGAAAATCGAAAATGATGAACGTGAGTTACAGCCAAACAAGGAGATAATACCCCGACAAATTTTCAGTTCTAATGAACATACCAACACAGTGGGCAGCATGGGATTTTTGAAGAATCGCAGCGAGGCCGAGATCGCCTATTTTCACTTCCCCTTGGTTGCCGTTGACAAAGATGTTGTCACACTTGAGATCTCTGTGGATGACTGGGGGGTCATGGCTATGGAGATAGTGAAGCCCTGTCAAGATCTGTATGCACCAATGCTTCACTGCTCTAATGTTCACTTTCTTGTGCTTTTGCCTGTACCTATCACACACACGCGCGCGCGCACAAAAAGAGAGAGAGAGAGAGAAGGAAAAGAAACCAGATTAATTTGGTTGTGTTTTGTTCTTCCTTTTAGTGTGTGTTTGCTTTTCCTTTTTTCAGAACAAAACAATGAAAAATTCGAAAACATCCATGGTCTTTATGCTGTATTCATTTTTGTGCAAAAAAGTACTCAAAATTTCGAAAAGAGGGTTGTTTTCAAAAGATATTCCAAATACAGTTTTCTGAAACAACTCGCCAAACAAGCTTGTTATTCAAAAATGAAAACAGAAAATAAAAACTCCAAACAGGGCTAAATCTCAAATACCCATTTCATAGAATCAACAGAGAAATAATATAAAAAAAAGATCCAGAATTTATGAAACAGTTCTGTTACAGTTCAGATACAAACACAAAAATCAATCATAGATTCACATAAATGAACAAGATTTTACAATTTTTGTTGGTGGGACCTACTTCTAAAGAATCTTATCCATCCATAAACATTCAGCATGGTTTTGTGATCGATTTATGTATTCATAGACTCATTTGTCGCAAAATTTCAAAACACTTTTCATATCAATCTTGATATTAAACAATGCCCCAAGGGCACTCGTTAAAATTTGCCAAATCTCAAATACCCATTTTATTAGGAAACACAAAGAAGAGAACCAGAAATCATGAAATTTCATGGTACATACTGTTTTAGAGTCCCAGAACTGAACATCTCAGTCACAAAATTGATGTTCCTATTTGCAGTATCAACCCAAGAAGTGTAGAACTTCATAATGTGGTGGTGCTTCAATGTTTTCAGCAAATGGATTTCACAGTAAAGCCTCTCAAGATCTTCAGGGCTTTGAAGGAAATCATAGAGCTTGACTTGGTTCCAAGCAACTTCAATCCCATCATACTCATCAAATGCTCTGTAACTGCATCAATCAATCAACACAAAATCAGGATGGCAAATCTAGCACACCACTCAGTCGCACAAATGCCTCTAAAGATCCCAAATTTTCAAATTTCTTTTCAACAAATCAAAGGCTGTGTTTGGATTAACCAATTGACTGGGAATTTATGGAGCACCAAAAAAAAACAAAAAAGGAAAAAGTGAAAGAAACTAGGTTCTATTTCATTCACTTTCCCCTTCTTTTTTCCTTTTCCTTCACAAATCCCTACCAAAATTTTTGATCCAAACGCAGCCTAAAAGAAACAAAAAAAAAAACATCAAAAGTTCCGAAGAAATCTGAAATGGGTATTTGACAAATCTATCAAATATACCTACTTGCAGAAAATAACATTGGACAAAAAACCTCCTCAAATTTAGAAGGAATCTAAAATGGATATTCAACAAATCTAAAAGACCCAAGAAACATCAAGTTAAATCTGAAACGGGCATTCGACAAATCTATCAACTATACCATTTGCAGAAAAGACTCAAAATAAATAAAATTTGGAAGAAATCTGAAATGGGTGTTCAACAAATCTAAAAAAGCCAAGAAACACCGAGTTAAATCCGCAATGCGCATTTGACAAATCTATCAAATATACCCATTGAAAGAAAACAACATTGAATACCCCAAAAAAAAAAAAAAAAAAACCTCAAATTTGGAAGAAATCTAAATTGGGTATGCTGTAAAATAAATGAACGTGAGTTTCAATTTACATACACTGTCTTTGAGGCTCCTTTGCCAAGGATTTCATTGTACTGCAACAACAACAACAAAAATGGAACCAAAACATCAAACTCAAAACTCCAAGCAGAAAACGAGAGAGAGAGAGAGAGAGAGAGAGAGAGAGAGAAGAATACTCTGCCATATCTTCCAGTGGGATCAATTTCAACAAACTCTGAGTAATCTGATTCAAGATGTGTAAGACCATTCATTTGCTCTACAATATTTATTTTATTTTGCTGTTTGTTATATGGGTTTGGTTGTTTTGTCTTTGCCCTTTACTGGTTTTTCTTCTTTCTTTGGTTCTAACACCAAGCAGAAAGAGATCATGAGAGAGACGATCTATCCCTGTCTCCTTCCATCACAAAATTATGTACTTCAAATTTTTTTTAGAGAGTGGAAAGAGAGATAGAGTGAAAAATCAGCAATTATGCAAAAACTCAAATTTTGGAGCACACAAATTTTTTCTCTTCAAGTTCTTAATTCTCCTTCTCCATAAAGGATCTCGTGTCTTTAAATTCTCTTGTTTTTGATATATTCTCAAATCATCATGCAAAATAAATATCTGAATCTCAAAATATAATTTAATAATTAAAAATTAATATTAAGTATGTGTTTAATTTTTATTTAAAAGAATAATTTGTGGGGGGATGCATCAATAAATTCCAAATTAATAACTTATGCACTGTTTAGTCCTAAAAGTTTTCTTATAGACCGAAAGGTCCCATTACAATGTTAATAACATCAGATACAATGTTAATAACATCAGAGTCATGTTACAAACATTGGATTTTAAACATCTAATGTTCATCAAATTTCAATAATGTTTGAAAATATAGGATGAAAAACATCTAATGTTCATCAGATTTCAATAAATTTTGAAATTATAGAATGAAACATCAGATCATTTACATCATTCACATCATGTTGATGTAAAAATGGGACTAAATGGAGCATAAGAAAACTTTTAGGACTAAATGGTTCAACGTTTCAAAAACTAGGACTTATGGGTAAATTTTCCTAATTGGTAATGACTTAAGTGGTCACGTTAGTACAAAAAAGTAAAAAAATTAATTAAAATAGTTAATTTTTAAACAAACTCTTAATTCAACTATAATTATCAACATCAACTGGCGAGAAAAGACAATTATTGTGTCAAATTTGATATTAGATTAAATGAGCGATTCAATCTCATTTTAAAATATTGTGGTTTAGATATAATTTATTTTTTAATTTTTTAACTTGTTATAAAAAAAAATGCATAAAAGAATAAATAAACAACTTATTTCACTTGTTGCCAAACCCACACTTTAATTCAACCACTCACTTCATGAGTTTGCTCATTGAGAGGGTAATTTTTTGGAAAAATTGGGTCGAGCTGCGAGTTGGGCTTTGTGGCCCAGAACGCGAAGGACTAAGTAAAAAGGCTGCAATGTTACTCCAGCCCAAGAGAAGTATAGTTACTCCGGCTCAAGAAGGGATAGTTGCTTTGGCCCAAGGAAGAGTAAAGCTACTCCGGTCCGGAGGCAACTTGGAGTTAGGCCGGTCTCAGAGTTAGTCCGGTCGCAGTATGTTCTGGGTAGGTCGGTTTCAGAATTAGTCCGGTGGCAGTTTAAAGTAAGTCCGACCTTGCATTTAGTCCGGTCGTGACATACTATGGTTAGGTCGGTCAGAACTTGCTACTTGGAAGTTTGATCTAAACACACCAAGGTTGAACAGGGGCAGCTGAGATAAGGAGTTAGAAGAGAAGACCGAGCTAAGGACAGTTCGGCCCTTTGTGGCTTGGCATAGCCAATTTTACTTCAGTCACATGGAAGTTTGGCCATGGAGAAAACCATCCCACTTGGTTTAAGCAGTGGGGGAGGGTGTAAAAGGATAAGCATTATCCTTTGGAGTATGAATCCTAGGAGGACTCTGCATGGAGAAATACAAGTCCTACCAGGATTGTGTCACGGGAAACTTATAAAAGCCCATAAACATCACTTTGGAGGAGGTAATTGAACACAATTCTTTCTGAGAGTATAAAACTTCGTCTATTTGTCAAGTTTTCTGACTTAGGCATCGGAGAGGTTTCCGACACACACCCGCCGGCTAGCTCACGTTTGTGTTTTCAGGTTAAAGCGACGTCGTACGGAGGAGCGTGGACTTGGTCAACAGGATTATACGAAGAGAATTATTTCCTCCCCGTACACTCATCATAAACAAGAACACCGTTTTGCTTGAATGCCTGTAGCCTAACTCAAGCCCATATCATATCCTAGACGAGTGCTTGGCCTGAAAAAGGCTTCAAGGCCGGAGTTGAAGCTCGACCCCTTTGGTCTGTGAGAGGCCGTCCATCGCCGAACGATTGACCAAACGTGCTGCCACATTTTAGAGAGGGGGAAATGATTTATAAACTCTTTTTTTTTTTTTTATAACAAATTACAATAGTAAAGTCTTAATATTTAAAATGAACAATTATTTTTTAATAACTTTTTTTTTTTTTTTCTTTCCCGAATCTAAGATCTGCTGTTTAAGCTGCCAAAGCTAAAATATGACATGAATGGCAAAAAGTGGGTACATTAGGTAATTGAATAAAATAAAAATAAAAAAACCATTTTAGGTCTTTATAAATTTGTCTCTTAATAAAAATCATCATAATATCCTTACAGTATTAAATACATTTTTAACCACATATTGAATTTTTTAAAGGTCTTGTTTGACATGATTTAAAAAGATCAAAAAGTCACTATCCTATTTAAATCACATTATCTTATTTAAATCACATCACTTCTCTAACACATCACTTCAAACACAACTCATATTTCATAAAAAGTTAAAAAATACATTTATTTAAATCATTCCAAACCACCCCAAAATATTGAGAGTAAGATAATTTTTTCATAAATTTATTAAAAAAATTTACTTTTTAAAAGAAAGACATTCAAATAAACTTATTTACTTTCGATTTGTTTTCAAACAAGACATCAATGATAGTAACAATTAATTTGTAAAGGGTCATATCAATTTTGTAAATTAAATACTTAAAAATATAGCAATAATGTGATAAAAAGAAAGAAAAAATTCAGAAATTTCTCACTTGACTTTTGTGATTTTTTTTTTTAAAGTTAATTGTACTCTCTCCGTTCCAAAATAATGGTCCCTTTTAGAGAATCTAACTTTTTTTAGTAGTACAATTATTACATTCGAAAAAAGTTGATTTTTCAAAATTATCCTTTTGATAGTACATTTTTTGGGAATATCAATGTCATAATTGTACTTTTTATATTGTTTATTAATTTAAAAGAAGGGCAAAATAAGAAATTTATATTATTTTTGTACTTGATTTTTTAAGAGGGACTAATATTTTGGGACAATAAAAAATAAAATAAGGAACTAATATTTTGGGACGAAGGGAGTATTAAGATCCACGTAACAATTGACAAAAGTCAATTTACACTATTCATTTAAAATTCCTATATTTTGATATTTTAATTATAAAAATGTATCAATTTTTAAAAGAGATATTTACACAAATTTTATAATTACGTGGTCTTTATATACAAATTCATAAATAAAAGAATAAGGTCATATTTATTAATAATTAATAAAAATTTGGTGTAAGTAACTTTAAGATAAATATTTTTTTAAAAAAATTAGCTCTCAAGGAGCCAGCAGTGTTTGGAATTGCATGGTTTGGTTAAAAATTAAAAAAAAAAAACAAAAAACAAAAAACAAAAAGTAACGGAAGGAGTACGGAACTTGGGTACGGATGAGAAAATTTGAAACTTCTTTTTGAATTTCGGTAATACCTTTTACTAATTGACACGACAAACCCGCCGACCTTCCTTTATTTATTTATTTATTATTATTATGAATAAAGATATTTTAAGTTATGTTTGTCTATTATTAGTTTATTTAGGTTAGGTTTGACATAAGTGTTTTTTTTTTTTTAAACACAAATAATTGTGAGATGCTGTATCTAAAAAAATTAAAATAAAATAAGTTAAAAAATTAATAAGATAAATATCATATTTAAATTATAATCATTTTATTTATTTTTCAAAAAATTCAAAAAATTTATCTCAAACTAAACTTTTTAGCTCCAAATTAAAAAGATTAAAAAGTCAAAAAATTAAAAAAGTAATTCACATTACAAACGAAGACTTATTTATTTTTATGAGAACTAGAAATTTGATGATACCATTTGTTCCCGGTGGAACGAGTCAGACTGATTCACGCTCCTCAAGCCTGTGTCCGAATGACCAAACCCCCCAGAAGACCTGCACAAGAGTTCAACGGGGAACGGGGAGTCCCCCAACGAACCCTCCGACGAGCAAGTTAGAGAGAGAAGTGGAATGTAGAGATGAATTAGAGATAGAAAGTTTAACCTTCTTCCCATCTTCGACGTCTGCTTATATCCTCTGGTAATCATTTCGTTATTCCTTCCGACCTGTCACCTTGGCCGAAAGTCTATGCTCTAGCTTACCTTATTCATGGTGAAGCCGTTCTGTCCCGACGGAGAGGAGTTATCGCAATAAATGCTGTAAGGGGTTTCATTAATGGCGATGTGCAGTGACAATAACTTTGCAAATTTTTGTCCGCTTATATGACTTGCCCTTCTCTTGTCATGTGTCTTGATGTCATTGGTTCTCTTTGCTACATGGGGCTTCAGCCATGCTGGGCTTTAGTATTTGAGTTATATATTGGGCCCTAAATGGTGGAGTATAATCTTTATGGGCTTACCCATATCAAAATTAATCATTAAACTTTAAAATTATTTACAAGAATTGGACTAATTATAGAGTGATCTACTTTTGTAATAGCCAAGAAATAAAATATCTACTATAGAATTTAAATAATCGTTATAATTGTGTTGGTCATTCAATCAGACTGAAGTTTCCTAAAATAATAAAATTAAATTAAAATTGTGCAACCCATTAAGAGCTCGTTGGCATAAACTTTTTTGGGAATTTTTTTTTTGATTATTATAGCCAAAAATAATAAAATAGGCTTTTTAATTGAATAAAATAAAATATCACATTCAACCCATAATTATTATATTTTTTCTCTCATAAAAGTTAAAAAATTCAAAAAATTCATCCCAAACCAGACTTTTTAGTCTCAAACTAAAATAATTAAAAAGTCAAAAAATCAACCCACATTCCAATCGAATCCTAAATAGCTTCCAAACAGTCTTTAGCTTCCGCTGCATTTGGTGAAGAAAAATAGAGATAGGTAGCTTGTTGGTTCACATGCTACCAATTCTTATCAAAACAGACACAAGCATGGTTAGCATGTTAATTGGCTCTCCTCTACTAATCGTTAATGATTTTTTAATTTTTTTTAATTAAAAATTCACCTTCCCAAACAAGGTCGAATTTCCTTTGAAGTTTGGTGAAAATACATCAAGTTTTATAATTTTAATATAATTATATTAAGCTTTATTAATAT